ATGGTATAGAATCCTGAAATTTTTCTTAAGGTCAACTTCTTTTGTTAAATACAAGGGAGTGACAAAACTACATTATGGTGTGGAATTTGAATCCCACACTTACACCTACTAGTTATTGCTCATGCATCCCTAGGGGAATGTGAAACACAAGGAGGTCCACCATGTTCAAAGCACATCACAAACTTCTAACATCCACGTTTGATGCAAGTAATGCAAAGTGAATGTGTGGAGGCGTCAGCACTCCGATGTTGTTAGAGATAATGTTAAAAGTTGTCAAAATAGTGCATCAGGATAAAGGGATTCCAATTGACAACTTAACATATGCTTGTGTGAAGTAGTTTTTTCTCAAAGGACAAAGAAGGCTCACTAAAAGTTTAATACTATCACTGCAAATAGCTGTGTGTATCATTGCAACGCAATTGCTTGTAACTGTGCGTGTAGCCTCAAGCAAACTACAAGTAATATCCTTACCGGTCAATTTTGTCTGCATCCTCTTACGTCCAAACAAAGCTTTGCCTTACCTGTGCTGCTGTATGAAGTATAATTTCACGAAGTTTGCATAGATGGCGATTAGCTTGCATGTACGAAATGTTGGCGTTTCAATTGTTGCATGGCAAACTCCAAAAACGAATGCTCAAAGGAGCCATGGGTATGTAAAATTTGACAAATGAACAAGGCCTGAATGAATGATTCCGTGATGATTGCAAGGTGGATGGAACAGAAATGAACAAATGACTAGATAAAAAAGGAATTTCTTAACAGACTACCTATTTCTGCAACACAGAGCTCGAACAGAATGGACTGTCGACTTTGCGGTTTCATCCACAAACTAAACGCAGGAACAGTGGACTTACCAAAGCAAAACAGTACTGAGTTCTTAGATTTTCAAAGCCTCTGCTTCGATAGACCTCTCCTGCCTCTCAAATAATACCATCTGCAATCGTCCTTTCCTCCAAGCCCCGTGTATTTCCAACTCTACTATGACAACTATGCTTGTAAATTGCCATTTTGTCCAGACTTCATTCTATCCTCTCAACCGATGTCAATCTTACTTTTTGTGGGTATTATTCCATGTGGTTTACTGTGCACTTGGTTAATAATGTCCTCTCCCACATCAACTCTACACTGTGCTTTGGAATTGAGGGTAGTAAATACTAAACATTATGATGGAGGCTTTTTCCTACCAGAAGTTGCAGGAGGTTGGGCGATTAAGATTTCGATTTAGCCTTAGTTACGCATTGGGATGGACTGATGCTTAGCTCAGGTTTGAGATGTAGGGATCCACGGCATGTAGTTACTCTAAACCTATTCCTCGAAGTCACGGCTAAAAGACACACAATTTGATAGGTACATCAATGGTAAAAAATAGTGTTAACGAATTCAGCGGCGTAGTTTTGGATAAATTTTTATCTGCAGATACCTAATTATTAGCATACTTTTGAAAGCAAACTAAACTCAGCAAAAACCTGTTGTAAATGCCATGCTCACTATCACTCTATCATTGCCACTGTTACACATCACACCTTGCCCTCCCCATTTTTTATCAAATAATTGTGCAGAATTTTGATTTGCTATTTTCATTAACCTGTACAAGAATGAATTCATGCCCAAATGTTTATCCATAAAGTAGCTGCAATCTGCACCTGACATGGTCAAGTTTGATTTGTCTATGCGGCTTGATTGTGAAGAGAAAACAACACGGGCTGCTTTGCAGGGTTATTCTGGCCCAGCATCGTTCCACACCCCGATTACCACCCACACCATCACCTCAGTGTGATTAGTTCTGATCCACTTCATCAAAGTTTAAGGCTTACATTAAGAATATCACTTATGGATTGCTAATAATTTCAACACGCTCAACCATATTTCAAATAATTGATCACCAGATCTCAACTATGGGGTCGCATTACCGATAGTACCATGGTAAGTGGATGGAATGTTGTTGTGATCACCATCATGGTTTGATTACTCAATAAAATCGACTACCTGGGCGATATGATTAGTTCACGAAACCTATCACATGCAGTAGGACGCAAGCAACAATTTGTTTGCTACTCCAAGTCATCAACTTCTTGGTTGCGCTAATGTAAAAGGGGCACCAGCATAATTGTAAGCATTATTATTGCTGTTTTGGGTTTGCTTTCCCAGAATCGCAGTGTGATTTCCTGCGCACTTTAAAAAAGACCTCATTGCACAAAGAATTATTCTTTTATGACTGCCAATCTGCGTGAGCACTGAAGATTTGATGAGTTTTGTGGGATTGCTTATGAAATCACTTAAAAACTTTAAGTGTGACTGGATTTGCAGATAGAACATTTAATACGCCTCCCCCGTATAAGTTAAGCAGATGGAATGCTTAGCTCTGCTAATCATATCGTCGACTCCTGCAGTCGACAGAGGAGCAAGCGCACGAGTTGTTCTGATTTCACCGAACTACACGTTGTAAGTGCCATTTACAACCAATAAGTAGCAATGCACAAGTTCTAACGTCTTTTAGACTAGGGCTTCACGATCTTTACAAACCAAATTTAGGAAAATTTTACAGACAACGTTTGTACGTCATGTTCTTGAATCAGAACGGATAACAAGAATTGTGTAATGAGCATGCAAGAGTCAATAAAATAAGGTAATTCACGCAAAATCTACTTTACTTTGCACTAAATGCTAGTCAACAAAGGCAAGCGCTTTATACCTCAAATTTCGAGATGTGGTAAATGTCTGCGCAATACTTACAGAGCATAAAACAATTATTGTGATACACGGCAAGTCTGCGCAGTAATTGCACAAAGTCATAAAATGTCCATAAATTCTACTTTGATTTATTGCCGAAGGTGCATAAGAAATGTAGCCAGTTTTCAGATTTCAGCAGCTTCCTGCCGCAATGCCTTACATAGTCGAAAATGGCTCGATTAGGATTCGAGTAAGAAAGCATCTGCAGAACTTGAATTGTTTATTTACATCTCTGATGTAAGAAGTTTGTGGAAGTGTACTAGTGGTGTTCGTTATATCTGGAAGTGGAGAGGAATTGTTAAGCCCAACATAGATCAAACCATCAAAGCCTTTTCATATCAATAAAAAAAATTCCTCTCGTCGTTTTAGCAGAAGAATTAAATAGCTGTGCCGATGTAAATTATCAGGGAAAGGCATGCGTCTCTCGTGTTCTTTATTGTTCAATGAAAAGGTGAAAGTACCTTAGCAATTAACGCGTCCAAGCTGAAAGCAACAGGTTTTTCTTTCACGACTTACATTGACAACATCAGTCGAAAGTGGCTTTGCTCTAGCTTAGGACCGAAATATAGCAAAACTTTTCATGAAGCAGGTCGTAAAATCGTATCACTCCATATTTATCTCATTAGGTGCAGAACATCCGCTTCTGGACACATATTTATACGGTGCTTAGCAAATAATAAATAAATGTGCTTGGTAAAGTGTGCCTTCAGTCAGCTTGCTGAACTGAACTGAATTATGAGAGTAACCTCTGGGTCTTACTCCACGTCGGTTACACATTTTCCGCTGTACCTCCTAAAGTCCTGCCACTTCAGGAAAGAATCAGGGCGCCGCAAATCAGTGAGCTCAACGCATTTGATGGAGTACTGAGCAGAATGCAGCATTTGGCACATGACAAATTTCATCACGGACACTAAGGATAAGTTTTGGCATGGTATATTTTATGGAAAACTACTGGCCGCAATAACCAAAAGGCACAATTTTACACTCACCTTTTTTGTGAACAGGCGTACTTTATAAAGCATTTAGGAGGTCATAACATCTTGCAATCCTGAGTAACAAACAGCATTTGATTGTTAGGCACTCATACTTCTTTTAAGGCAGTTCTTCCTTGTTCCGTAATGAGCTGTCTGGATATGCTCTCCCTGTCTGTGGATGCATAATGCGACGGCATTCGCACCATTTTTTATGAAGGGTTTTGAATTCAAGGGAAAAGAACGTGTGCTGCATAGTCTGTGACGCCCCCACCGTATGACTATTTCAATGGCCTCAACGCACTAAGTTGATAGTGTGTAAATGCCTTCAGGCACATATGATAAGTGATTCCTCAACCAGTTACTTGTGGTCGCGTCCTACCACGTCCAAAGAATGCTATTCTTTATAAATGCTACTGCATAATGTGTTGCTTCACAGAGACTGAAGTTGTGTATAGGTGAGAGAATAGCATAAATTAATATGATGTCCATACATTGTCTGCATACACGAAATATTGAAGTCAAAATTGTTGCAAAGCAAACAACAAGGACTACTCCTGAAAGTGTCCGGGCAAATGAAGAGGTGAGCAAATAGGTAATGATTAAATGAATGACTGAGTCGGAAATAAAGGAATGATTTGATGAATGAAGAGTGTTTTTAAAGAATGTTTTCAAATTTTGCATGATAGCCACAGAATAGATTAAAATGGCGAATGTGCCATTTTGTGCACAGACTAGACTTAGGGTCATTGGGCTTACCGATGTAGAATGCCACTGAGTTCTTTGCCAAAGCCTCTACTTCGACAGACCCCTTGTACTTCATGGATGATGGCATCTGCAGTCGCTCTCTCCTCCCTGCCACATGTATTTGCCACTCTCTCAATAACTACTATCTTTTTTCCCTTTTTAACTCAAACCTCATTTTCTCATTTTAAACAGTGTTGACCGCATAGGTTTAAGCAGTAATCCCACTATCTTCACTGTGCTACCTAACCCATAACATCCCACCCCTTATCAGACCATCACGATGCCATGGAATGGACAGTAGCAAGTACTAATGACATATTAATTTCGGTAAGACTGCCAGCCTGCTGTAAGTTGCCAAAGGTTGTGCAATAGACATTTCGATTTCTATCTCAGTAACACATTTGGACTTGTTTACGCTTAGCCAAAGCATGAGATGGAAGAGTTCACTGAGTTGGGTCACTCAGGTCTTTGTTTACAACATCACATCAGTCTGGTTGATATGTCAATGCTCCTGACTACTGTGGTGTGGTATGTCAGAATTGTTCGAGTGCAGATTTCTGCCAATCTGTATACCCTTTGGGCACACGAAGAAAGTGCCTACCTCCTGATGATGTGACTCGGGTGTCTCATGTCATTTCCCATTATGAATAATTCTATGACACCAGTATTGACCTGTCACTGTCAATACCAGATAATCCTTCCGCCTTTCCTTATTTTACCCACATTCAGCCACGCAATGTGGTGTGCTAATTGGGTGCTTGACCTAAGACAAAATACTTGTCTCTTGCCAAAGAGTTGCGGAATTATTGGAATTGGCTTACTAAAAGACAATTAGTTACATCGTGGTTACAACGGTCGTGACAGAACCCCTTAAATTGAGTTGATTGACTCAAAACTATTGCAGTCAAGTGAAGCGGAGCTTCAAGCTACGCGAGCTGATCCATTCAGTGGATGTCTGCTCAAAATCTCCACTTTAAATATCACTTATCTCATGTCTTGCATTTACTCGTGGTCTGTAATTTGCGTCACACTTAATGAACTCACTTATCGCTTGGGAGCCCGTAATGATGCTCAAATAGTGACCAGTAGGCACCATATATCTCTCTTTGGCGTAACGCAGAATAGAATGACTTTGACATGCTCACGTTAGTAGGCAGTGTACTTGCAGTCAAAATCAAATCAGGGTTCCAATTTGTGAATTTATTTGACACGTTTGCCTAACCACAAATTCTTTGTTTATCACATTTTTTACTATTCAGCTTGTATTCATCCACACTGACGTACGAGTGTGGAGGCAATGTACTTTCGTAGTCGTCCTTGAAGGCACCCAGCACAATGGGAATCATATCGTGTCTACATGAATAAATAAAGATTAAATGAATCGGTGGAGCAACAAAAGTGGTTGAAAGAATTGCGAAAGAAAGTTAGGACACCCCAATTCTCGCATTCTGCCTGTTTGTCGTCAAGGCGACCCAAAGTTGTTGTGTGCAGCGCAAGAGTTCGAGTATCTGCGATTTACGGGATCACTTTCTACACATTGTGTATTGTACTACTCACAAAACAATCGTTCAATAATTATCCCAGGGTAATCACCTCTCGAATACCGAAACTCAGCAACCGTTAAGGGGGCATAAGATCATCCTGCCAACAAAGAAAATAAGATCAACACAATAGTGCAAAGTTTCAGTTTGAATTGGATTACGTTGATAGGAGGTTGCATATCGCACAGCACTCTACAAGTTTAACCAACCAGATGTCAGGTTTCATCTGCACATATCATGGTAATTGGGCATGCACACGGCCTCATTAAATCACGCTGGAAAACTTTAATGTTAAAGAAGACAAAGTCTCTTGCATTAACTCTCGTCTCAGTTA